CAGCCCTAGAGAAAGAATTGTGTGGCCAAAATGTCAACAGTACCAAGAAATTTCACAAACCACTTTTGACACATTTGATCAGCCACAGCACCTTCTGCACATACTGCACAAATGTCTCTTTGCATTTCAGTTGTGTTTTTACCTTTCTTGAAAGAATAATAAAGCACAACATGTTATGTATCTTCTTTCATCTTCAATATTATAATGGCTGCACAAAAATTTACCAATTTCAATAAGTTTTTTTAAAATGCACATTGATATGACAGCTGTCACAATACAATCTAACAAAATTGTTTCAAATGAAGTTAAAGACAATTGTAACAGACAATTGTTAAAGACAAATGTAACAAAATGAAGTTAAAGACAATTAAGTGCCCCTAGAACCATCGCTCAGAAAAAACGTAACAGACTTTTTGGCCGACCCAACAAAAAGGGGTTGGTTTCAGAAAACAGAAGGAATAGACTAAGATATACGTAGAACATTGTTCCTCTGAAGCAGAAGAGGAGGAAAAAGAGTCGATAACGATCTGGAGAGAATCAGAGCGGTCACCATGGACAACGCAGTATCCTGAGTCAAACAGACTGAAATCGGGGACAGAGGGTGGCAGTGAGTTGACCTGAAACAGGGATCTGAGGTGGAAACAGCTTTGGGCAGAAGTGCAGGGACAATCAACAAAGACAATAAGAGGGTGGACAGGCCAGCGTGAGAACCCAGCAGCAGTGCGTCAGCCACGGAACCGCACAGAGTCCGTGGGGGTCTTCTCGGCTCTTCCTGGTCTGGAAAGTACATGTAACGGAGGGCAAAGGAACAAACCATCTAAACTGCTGCAAAAACACGGTCACCTTTTAGCCGGGGGCTAGACTCGGAGGAGGTTCAAGGGGCTGGCAGCGCGTGCTGAGCCTGGGCAAACCGGGGCTGGGAGGTGCCCGTGAAGGTGAGTGCAAAGGAGGAAGTAGGGCTCCTGTGCACACCTGCTGCTCCGGCAGGATTGCTGACCACTGACTCAGAGTCCGACAACAGCGAGGAGGTCCAGGTGGCACCTCACAACACTTCACGTGGGCAGCGTCGTTTATTGCTGCTTGTCGGCTACCCAAATTCTCTCTTGCAATGCTCTTTTCCGAAATCCATAAATTTTACCTTATCCATTTTATTTATTGTTAAATAAATAATATAAATGGGTAGAAAGAACTTAAGCTGTTTTTGAGTCCTATTTTTAATTTCAAGTCATTTCCAATTTGAGGGTTGAACGCAAACTAATTGATTTGGGGCCCTGTTGTAGACAACTTCCCACTTTTCTCTCAAAGTGTGACTCATGAGTTAAATGTGAGATTGGAGAGTGTGTATCTTTCTCACTAAGATATCAGCTCCACTAGGGCGGGGGAGGTGTCTGCTTTGTTTCCTCCGTCAGCCCCGGGGCATTTGGTATCTGGAGTCGCTCCCAGCACGCGTGAGGTGCTCCGAAAATATTCGTTGTTGTTCAGTGTTTACAACAGGAAGTATTGGCTGAATCTGGGCAACCTCTCTTACTCACTGAAGCCTGTTGGTTGCTTGCTGTATGTTTGACAAGTCAGCCAAAAGTATTTCCTTGTATTTCAGCAACATCTGTACTGTTCAGAGAAGGTGAGATGCCCTTTATTGTCTCTGTAACTGTGAAACTCTCGGCCTGGGCTCGTGAAGGGGCAGGAATGTGCTCACCTGTGTTCACCCTTTAATCTTTAACCTTCAAGTTTCTGATGTAAACTTCAGAAATCTCTTGGACTCAGTCATCAGTCTTAGAAATTTCCACAAATTCATGACCTTACTGTATTTTAAGGACATCACCAGATTTTCTGAAAATTCTGTGACAATGTTCAGTCCCAGTCACTGAGAATGAGCGAGTTAATTAGGCTTAAGCCCCGGGGACCTTTCCACCCTCCACCCCCACCCCAGCCTGGCCTTTTCTGTGGTTCAAGGGCCTGTGATCTGCACTTCTTTCCAGCGCCTCTCTGCCGCCCTCTTCTGGTGGCTCATAATAGCACAGGAATGTGAGAACCCTTGTTGTGTATGTTTACTTAGGAGGGAAAAGAACGTTTTGTTTTCAGGACCCAGAAAGATCTAAATAAATCGCAAGACTTAGTAATGACCAAAAGAAATGGATAATTTCTGTGAAACATTGAAATAGTGATGAATATTATTTACCTGGTCAATAATCTTTTTAAACTCGATCTCAGTAAAAATTCATTAATCTTCTTGGATGTCATTATAGAAAAAAAATTCACTAATTCACTGTCTCAAAATTTCAATATAATAATGATAAAAATTACACTTGCACTATGTATGGAGAAAGAGTTTGCTGGCCAAGTTAATACCACAATAAACCGGGTCTTTAAGCACTGCCTGCCCTCTGCCCTCTGTGCAGTCCCCAGCCACGGGCTCCTCCCACTCATCACACGCAGGGGACCTGGGCTCTGACCCTGGCTGTCACATACTGGTCCCTGCCACACCTCCACTTCTGCCTCTTTAAAATTAGGGGGTGTTGCTAACTAAGGTCTCTAAAGTCCCTTCCAGCTCATCGACTCTACAACACTATTTCCACCCTGTGAAAATGCAGCAGGGAGTGCTGAGGAGCAGTGTCCACCCGGCCGGCCAGGTAGGGCCTACGTCGGTGCTGCCGGGCTCGACGAGGGCTGGTGTTGGTGATGGCCCAGCACCGTGACGAGGGCCTCAGTGTGCACACTCCCCGGGCTCCTACAGAAACAGGGCCGGGGCCCACAGTGGCTATCGGCCAGTCCTGGTCACACAGTAGAGGGTGGACCGAGCCGACTCCCGCAGGGCGGTCAGCCCTGGGCTCCAAGGCACCCCAGGTTCCCACCCATGCCTGACACCTCAAGCCCGGGACGGACGTTCTGCTCAACAGAAAACAGAGAGGGAGTCCCAAGGGCCCATACAGCCAGACGCAGAGGAAAGCCAGGGATGCGTGGTGAGAGGCAAGCCAGTCACCAGCGCTGAAATTTCAGAGAGAGAAAGACATGAAGTCTTAAACAGTGGCCCTTGGATTTGGATAAGGTGATGAGAGGTCATTTTAACAAGTGGAAGCGTATTTTTAAAATGTGCCTTAGGAAGTCCCTGAGCAGAGTGGGAAAGACGAAGGGCTTTGCCTCATCTGCAGGAAGGGGCAGGTGCCTGCATGGCCCAGGACGACGGCTCAGGGTGTTGCAGGGTGTTTCTGCTTCTTGCGAGCTGGCCTGTGGCCTGGGGGAGGCTCGCCCCAGCCCCGGGTGTCCAGTCTCACACCCACGGGGAAGATGGGCCGTGGGGTGGCTGACAATGCACCTTATTAAATCACCTGCAACTTTGGGAAGTACACATCAGACCTCCTCCATTAACATCTCAGGAGAGATGCTGTTCACTCACATTTTATTATCCCCCTCGTGACTTAGGACATGACTTAGGGAAGCAAATTGCTGGGTAGGGATATAGTTTTCTGGGAAAATTATGACCTGTGGCGTCCAACCTTTAATGAGAGGTTAAGTTATTGTGGAGAAGTAGTGAAACCAAAGGACACACAAGGAGGATCTAAATGTTTCTTTTTCAGAAATGAGAGACATTCTGAATGGACAGGGCTTCCTTGGTAACTCTGCAGGTGTTTCCGGGCTTGTACAGCAGGGGGCGCACTCCCAGCCCAGTCCACGTAACTGGGCACCTTAGGGTGCGATAGGAGTGTCCACAACGATACCATGCCTGAATCTCAGTACACTCTGTGCAGACGTGACTCATGAACCTGGGTCAGCGGGTCGATTCGCAGTCACAAGACGCTCCCATTCCCCCTTCCCTCTTCTCATTCAGAATGACTGAGTGAGCAGAGCAACAAATCTGCATCGAATTTTGCATTAAGCTTGAACATTTCCTCTGCGAAAACTATTTGTATGATTCAGAAGGCGGCAGCTATGGGCAACTGGTGATTGGCAGCTTCATTATGACAATGTGCCCACTCACAAATCACGCCTCATGCAGAGTTTTTTGGCAAAACATCAAATCACCCAGGTGACTCAGCCCCACTATAGCCCAGATTTGCCACCCAGCAACTTCTGGCTTTTCCCAAAACTAAAATCACCCATGAAAGGAAAAAGATTTCAGACCATCAGTGAGCTTCAGGAAAATATGATACGGCAGCTGATGGTGATTGGGAGAACTGTGGGAGGTCCCAAGGGGCCTGCTTTGAAGGGGACTGAGGTGTCATGGTCCTATGTACAATGTTTCCTGTATCTTCTTCAATAAATGTCTCTATTTTTCATAGCATGTGGCTGGATACCTTCTGGACAGACCTCGTATGTGTCTATCATTTTACTTTTATCCAATCCTAGAGTAAATTCCCCCCATTTTCTTTGTCCCACTTCCAGGGCATTTCAGGGAACTGCCTTGCCATCCTCTCCTTTTGGGCTGTAATGTATAAAATAAGCTGCAGAATTGCCATTCGCTGGAACATTTCCTCAATCCACTGAGGCTTTCCTTCCCAGTACTTGTTGTCACTTTGACTCAAATAAACTCACTCAGTTCTCTACAGGTTTGAATGTCCCTTGCATTGCCAACAGTTAGGAAGTTCAACAGATTGTATTCGTCAAGTAAGCTCCACAACCAAGGGCCAGTGAAGTTCAGAAAACCGCCACTTCACAAACACATGAGTGCAGTGCTTCCAAAACTTTAGGCATTCACAGGTCACCGTCAGTGTTTACCATAACTGCATATTACCTGTACTAGTAGTTATTTAATCATTTCCACGAAATCAATAATAAACTGGCTCCTTCTCTTTTTACTTAACATCTTCCTGAGCAATAATATCTATGATGTCACAGATTTTATACAGTAATTATCATTTTAATTCATATTAAATGAATCATATAACTCAAATTTTCAATGTCTGGAATGAGCCACCCCAAATCTGTAGCTTATATATCACACATTTATGCCATGTTCTGTACCCACATCTATCGAGTTTTGACATTTAAAGGTTGATACTCACTATTGTCTTGAAGAAGGTGAAAAACACTCTGAAGAACGTTAATTCAGCACAACCTCGTAGAAATGCTATTTCTCATAAACAGCTTCGGTTTCAGGAAGTGCAAATGTGAAAGAAAACAAAGCCAGTCACTGTCTCACATGATTGTGTAACTTCCAGCAGTTTTGTACCTTAAGACACACCCCTTTACGGATCTCTTGGGGACGGGTGTACTGGGAGTTGTATTACTACAGGAAGTTCCTTCTTTGAAGCAGAGTGCAAGAAAACTCGTGATTTGGGTGTAGAATGGAGAGCCCGCCCCCTGACCGTTGAGGAAAGAGAATGTCGGTGAGAAACAAGGCACACGACGTGTTCTGACGCATCACCAAAAAGCAGCCTCACATCACGGCTCAAGCCAGTGCCCGACCTGCTCCAGAACGAGACGGAACCAGAGTGTAGACGTGAGCGCGTTGTCACAAGGACACGCATGTGACCGGATGTATCTGAACTGGAAAATGAAGTCAGGGTTTTTCTCGCAGAAAACCTCACCAAGCTGCTTGGGCAGGGGGGACTCTGTGACTGGGCTCCATGGCAGACACGGCCCTGCATTGACAGTCTGAACTGCAGCTGCACATTTTGACCAGAAAAAAAAATCAAAAGCATATGAGATGATTTTATATTTTAACATATTCTATTGAAAAAATGATTTTCTCAAACTATAAGACAAAGTCTATTTAGAAAGTCACAGAAAGTGAGCTGTAGAAGAAATGGGCTCAAGACACAAGTGAGAGAAGCGAAAGAAGCAACGCTCTTGGAGCTGGGGCGGGGGGTGGGGAGAGCGCGAGCGCAGTCCGGGGGCAGGGAGGGAGGAAAGACCCAGGCCTGCTCCACAGGGAGAGCCACGCAGGTCCCACCACAGCGTCTTTATCTGGAGGTCCCAGGGGAGGGTCCCTATAGACTATTTCTCTGTGTCCAGGTGTGTCCTTCCAGGGTCTGGTCTCCGCTGATGGTCGGCGCCAGGACGGCGGTCATGAGTCAGTGCAGCTGGTCCTGACGTCAGCCGCGGGTCACTTGTCCAGTTTTGCTGCTTTTCCGGGCCTGGAGCTGAAACACGGCTGAGGCCTCTAGGTGTTGTGTGCGGGTCAGAACGTCATTGTCCTGGAGGCTTCATGCGTCAGGGCCGCTCTCCGGCCCCGCCACCGGGGGTCTAACCCTCACCACAAGCAACACGCCAGGGGAGGAGAGGTCAGGGGAGGGTCCGAACCGCCTGAACAGCGACGTGAAAGGTCAGGGGTCTGCCAAATTGCATGACCGGAGGTACGCTGGAGGAGGCAAGGCCACCCTGTTGGCCAGGTCCTTGCTGTCCTGGGTGGTTGTTCTCTTTGCCCGTCGCTAGGCATCTGTGGCTTTCCGCCCCTGCGCCCCGCCCCCGCGACCCTGTGTACCTGGCCCGTCTCTGTGCTCGACTCAAGTCTTTCTGCAGACCACGCTCCCCCTCAAGAATCTTGGCTCTGATGGAAAAGTTATTGATGTCAACAATACCTTATCTTTTCTGGTCCTTTCTGACCCTGCTGGGTTAAAGAAGGGTGCTCTCTGGTGAAGGAGTGAGGGCTTTCACTGGAGTAATTCGGTAAGCCCAGTGGAAGCCTTTTTGGTTCATGGGTAACAAATTCCAAGGCCAATCGGATGGTTTCCAATTCTGCTTCCAAACAAAAGCAGACAAGGAAATACCCAAGTACTCAGCTATATACTGAAGTACTAAATACAGTACTCCATATTTATAACACTTCAAACATGTTTATAACAGTTCACCATGTAATTGTTAATATATGACCTTAGAAGTTCAAATAACCGCATGACATTGCTGTAACTAAGCTCTGTCTCCACTGACTGATGTGGAGAGGTTCTCTGTACACATTTCTGTGGGTGCTGTTTTATTTTTGCTACCAGTAACATTCATCCATAGTACGTTTTAAAGAAAACCCTAAATCTCATTGATAAAGAAATGCGTTTTTATGAATTCATAATACTTGTAATGTATAAGTCAGTTTTGAAAATTTTTAATACTTAGAGTCTATGGCCAGAGGAAGTAAAAATGTTACATTCAATGTCCACATGATTTTACTGTGAAGAAATATGGTAAAGCAAACTTATAAGCATATCAACTACTTAATAGTAGGAGAAAATTCTATGAAAATTTGAAGGAGATAAAAGAGTGATAGGAAATCTCCAACTGTTAAGCTTTTATATGTGCAAGAATTTGTACGTGTATTTTAAAATGGATGATGGTGGGCATCAAATCATTAACGTATAATTTTCTTTGGAAATGTTTAAAAGTTATTAAACATCTGACTTAGATCCTTTGCAACTATTTGAAGTTATGATAAAGATGAATATTAACCTAAAAATGTATGAAGAAGTTATTGTTTTTATAAAATTCCTTTTGAGGGTTGCTGAGCAAAAATGTTAGAAATTCGGTGTTTCGGAGCAGAACCGAACGTTCTGGGGCCTGGAAGAGGGCACCTGGGGATGGAGAGACAAGAGTGTGGGTCCTGCCACCATCCCACGGGGTGGGGTGGGGGGGGGGACGCGCTGAGGAGAGGCTGTCTTCCTCACCATGCGGACAGCAGTCACATCTGCTGCAACAGTGAGGCTGCCTGGGACCCTCAGAGGCAAAGAAACACCAAGAAACAATGTCTCATTTATAACTGCAGTGTTGATTCCCCGGCTGGCGTGGCTCAGTGGATTGAGCGTGGTCTGCAAACCCAAGGCTCACGGGTTCCATTCCCAGGCAGGGCCCATGCCTGGGTTGCGGGCCAGGTCCCCAGTGTGAAAGGCAACCAATCTATGTACCCCCTGCACATCAGTGTCTCTCTCCCTCTCTCTCTCCCTTCCTTCCTTTCTCCCTAAAACTAATAAAATCTTTAAAAAAATCCTCTGAGTATCTTCAGAAAACTCAGTAAATTAAAATTACAGAAAGAAATGGCCATATTTCCTCTTGGCTCTGGGCCTTCCAAGCTTTTAGATGTTTTCTGGGCCTTTTGTTGGTTTTCAGGAAGTTGAGGAAGCCACAGTTGCAAAACTCTGCGCCTCAGGTTTTTCTTTTTCCTTTTCTTTTTTTATTATTCTGATCTTTATTACTAATGTTTTGCCTCTAGAACTTCATAGAACATTGAACTGAACAGTACATGCATTTTTATTTTTATATATTTTATTGATTATACTTCACGATTGTCCCAGTTTTCCCCCTTTGCCCCGTCCACCCAGCCACCCGTCACTTGTTTCTGTGCCCGTCACTTGTTTCTGTGCCCGGGGGGGCGAAAAGGGAACGCAGGGTCAAGGAGCTGCCTCAGGGAACAGAAACTCCAAGCTTCTGCTCCGCCCTTCCTCAGCTTTGCTCTTCCTCATCTTCCCTGGCGTTTTCAGTTTTGAGACCCATTTTGTTGAACCACTTGCCAGAGGCGGAAACCGATACTGAGATGAGGTTCTGATTTAGAATTGAAGGCTTATTTCAAAGTCTCATTTTGGGGCATTTAGTAAATCAAATACTTCGTCTTAAAGGAAACAGGGAAAAAACCCAGCACCATGAGTTTTAGCAATTGCCGCATTTTCTCTGTTACTGTTACCAGTAACACGTCGGTCCTTTCCGGCATACGCACGGCCATATATTTCATCTCAAAGGTCAGAGACCAGAAATTCCAGTTCCGGTAATATCATTTTACTGTGTGAGTTTACTGATAGTCGAATGTCACGTCTTCCTGCTGCTCCCCCTTCTGCCGCCGAAAGCTGAGACTCCTGCTGTCTGTGCGTCAGAGAAGCAGTAAGACACGCTGACGGTTAACCACCAAGAGAACTGCAGCCTGACCGGAACCCGCGCCCCTGGCGGACGCACCTGCCTTCCCCAGGTGGGACCCCTGACGGCACCTACCCCAGCTCGGCGAGCCCAGAGCTCAACAGCGCCCCCTCTCCGTCCCACCCTCACCCTCACCCCACCCTCACCCCCCCCCCCCCCCACCCCCACCCCCACCCTCCTCTCCCCGAGGTCAGGGCGCTTCCGCTGTCCCCACGCCGCCCTTCCCTGCGGAGCCCCGGGCCCCGGGGGCAGCGTCAGCCTCGCTCCGGTGGCGGGGGACCAGGTGCGGGCTCAGGTGCGGGCTCCTGGGCGGCTCACAGTCTGCTCATCTGTCAGGGGACCTGCTCTCCCGCCCGGAACCCGGAGGAGACCGAGCGCACCGGGCCCCTCGCTGCCGGGTGACCGGCTCCCCGCACCCCGTCCCCGGCCGACACTAGTTGCGGGGCGCGCGGCGGGGGTTCGTCCTAAGGTGGAGCCACTCCGTTTACTCTCGAAGTCCAGCTCTCAAGTCACAGCCCCCCCGGAGGGCGCGCTCGCGTGGGGAGGTGCAGCCCAGCGGGTCCGAGCGCCGCGGCCGGGCCTGGGGCTCCGGGGGCGGGAGGGTCGGGGAGGGGTCGGACGCGGTGGGCGGGCGCTGACCCGAGCGGCCCGAGCGGGGCGGGGCGGGGCGGGGCGCCCAGGGAGATTGCCTCGGGGGCGGGGGCGGAAGGGCCAGAGCCCGCCGGGGTCTCCGAGCTGCTCCGCGCTTCGCGAGGGGCCGGGCCGGCTCCGGCTGCGCGTTGGGAAGGAGAGGAATTCGTGGTTTCCCGGGACTTTCCCGGCTTCGGTGGGGAGGAGGCGTGCCCATCCGTCCGCGGTCCCCGAGCAGACCCTGGGAGCCGCCGGCCGGCCGGGGTGAAGGAAGACGCTCCCCGAAGAAAGCGCCGCGTCCGCGCGCCCTCCGGCGAGCCCGCCGCGGTGAGTCCTGAGTCCCCGCCGCGCTGAGGCGCCAGCTGCCCCCCCCCGCACCCCCCACGCGCGCGGAAGGGCGGCGACCCTGGGAACTGGCTCCTGCCCCTGTTCCCTCCCGGGAGCTGCGTGCTCTTCGGGGAGAGGGAAGCCGTCGGGAGGCTGCGGTGGGAGGGAAACTCTCAGAGGGGCACGCGCACCGCCCCGGACCAACTGCGCGCGTTCCTGCAGTCGGCCTCGCTTTAAACAGCAAACGCTGAAAGCGCGAGGAATTGTCGGCCTGCATGACCGCGCAGGGGCGCCCAGCTGTTCCACAGCGCGGACACCTGGCTCTTTTAACCCAAAATATCACTTTCCGCGCGCGACAGTTGAAGGCCGAACCCCGTCCGCGGGGCGAGGATGGTGGTGTCTGCGCTGGCGTGGCGGGACCTCGAGCGGGAGGCTGGGGCGGGGGCGGGGGCGGGGGCGGGGCGGGGCGGGTGCGGGCGCCGAACACCTCCGCGTCCCCGAGCGCAATCCGACGCCGACCCCGAGGTCCCAGGTGGGCGCGTCCGCGCGCCGTCCTGCGCCGTCTGCCGAGTCCCGCCTCCGCCGCGCGGGAACTCCGCGGCCGGCCTTGGGTGCGCGCTGGTTCGGAGCGCAGAGCCCCGCTCTGTGTCTGTCTATCTGCTCGCTGCAGTTACGTGCCCACTGCTGACACCGTCACGGTGTTTTACAGCCTCTGCGTGTCAGGCGTCACGGTTTACAACGTTACTGATACTCAGCTGATCTCCACCTTCACTGAATTCCGCAAAATCAGATGGTTCGGGGTTGCGTGAAGAAAATATTTGTGAAAATTTGAACAGATAGTAGGTGCACGTGGCACAAAGTTCAAAGGTACCGAGTGCGAGGGGTGCGGTGGGGAGTCTCGTTCCCGGACCCCAGGTCCCCTCTGCACAGGCGCCGCCGTCACCCCTGGAGAAGCTCATTGGTGCACTTGTTTCTTTGGTAACTTAGGTCAAATTTGAAAAAGCTGCTTTTGAGCTCCAAAGATTGGTGTCTGCGTGCCTTGAGGTCAGAGACGGTGGTTCATCCAACCGTGGTGCTCCCCAACAACCTGCCCAGTTACCAGTGGGCACCAGTAATATCCACGAGCCCAGGCGGGACCCCGGTGGCAGCCGGGCGCCGCTGAGTCTTTCCCTGGTGGGAGACACAGGGCGCACCCCCGCAGCACCAGACTCCAGCCAGGCTCTTGCTGGTTCTGCGTCGCACACCTCGGAGGCTCCGCTCCGGTGCTGCTGGTTACCCTAATTAGAGGAGCTTGAGGTCACAGTCCGGGGGGATTTGCCGAGTCTCCCGGTGTGTGCTGGTTCTTGCTGCCTTCGGTGTCCTGGTGATTTGTACCACAAAGCGGCCCGTGATTTTGAGTCTCCTTTCGGCTTACAGCTGGGCCTTGGGTCTGCTTGAGCCATGCACTACGATTCGATAATGGGCCAAAAAGTCGATTACAAAAGTAAATTTAGAATTAAAATATATTCCCAAAGCAATAAAAAAGAAACTTGCTTAGCTATGTCACCTGTTGAATAAATTGATAGTTTGACTCTTAGCAGCATAAGTTTGAGAAACAAGAAAGAATTGTATGTTAGAAGTAAATAGCAAGAACCATAGAAAGAAAACAAGGCATTCTGTGTTTTAAAACTAGCTCTGGTGTTAACATCCACTACAGACGGCACACCGGAAACACTGAAGCTGCAGTCAGCCTCACTGGCAGCTGTGGGTTCCCCAGCCCCGGGTGCAGCATTAGAGAATGCTTCCCGGTGCACCAGGTTAGCGGTCTCAGCCCAGCCTGTGACAGATGAGGTGCATTCATATGTGTGGATGTGGAAAAAATCAGGTGTTTGCGTTAGTAGTTGAAAAACGCAAGGTCTGTCATGGCTGTTGTGTGAAGAATTTTTGTAAGAGTAAAAGCAACTTTCACAGCAGCTGACTCTAGAAGAGGAAACAAAGGATTATGGTGGAGGGAAGATACTTTCTGTTGTTATTGTTATTTATTACAGTTGTCTAGATTTTTTTTTCTTTTTGGCCTCCTCCACCTGTAGAAGATACTTTTTAAAAAACCTTTTCTACTGTTAGAATTTTGTGATCATGTGCGTGTAATTCTTTTAAAATAGTTTCTAAATGGTAGTTCAGTGTCAAAATAACCTCTCAGAGGTTTCAGGAACTAACTCTCCTACTGTGCTATGTACTCGGCTCCACTGACTGTGAGAGGTGCGCGCAGAGAAGTGCAGGTGCGGGTGCGGCCGGCGGGGGGGCAGCGGGCTGTGGTTGACAGATGTTTGTGCTGCTTGTGGTTAGTGACAGTTTATCTGTCCGCTCATTAGGAACCACTGACAAAAATAAATAATCCAGTATGAGTAGAGGCCATATTTAGGGTTACTTAGAAGTATTTAGGAGGTTTTTTTTAAGTTATGTAATGTCTAAATTTTAAAATCATAAGAGTAACCCTGTCTGGTGTGGCTCAGTGGATTGAGTGCTGGCCTTCCAACTGAAAGGTCACCAGTTCGATTCCCAGTTAGTGCAAATGCCTGAGTTGTGCGCCAGGCATCTAATCAATTTATCTCTCCCAGATTGATGTTTCTCTCTTTCTCCCTTCCTTTCCCTCTCTATAAAAAAAAGTAAATAAAGTCTTTTAACAATATTTAAAAATCAGAAGAGTAAAATAACCTTTTTAATAATTTACTATTTTTAACCATTTACCTACTAAAAATATAAATGAGGATAAAGGTAAATGTTGCAATTATTTATGGCTTTTAAATTCTTTCTTTAGTCAAGTTTCACAATTCATATACATCTAATTATAACAGTTCATAAACTGCAGGGTTTATGTATATGTCTGTTGAGGGCATTCGAACCAAGGGCCATTCGAACCAAGCACAGCTGTTGCAGTCACTGTATTTGAGCGAGAAGGAGCCCACAAACCACTTTATTATCAACACTTACTCCAAGATTACCTGTATGATCTTTTCCTCAAAATGGAAATGAAAAATAAAGAGATAGGAAAAGGTAACACACCAATTCACAGGGTTGGGATATGACTTCACATATGATTGAAAGTATCCTATGTATTCTTTTCTTAATATAAAATCTAAATAAATGCCTCTCAGAAGATGTTCATGAAATTGTTAGATCCGAGCTCCCGCTGCCTGGCTTCGGGAAGGAACTAATGTGCCGCTGCACCTCTCGCAGGTGCCGGGCCTCTGCTGCCGACATGTCCGGTTTCGAAGACGCTGACACGGAAGAGACCCTGACTTGCCTCCGGGTCACCGCTTACCATCCGGGCCAGATGCAGACTGGGATATTCCAGTCAATAAGGTTTCATAACCGAGAGAAACAGCCCTCCTGCGAAGTGCTGAAATTTGGCCGGAATTCCAATGTCTGTCATTATATTTTTCAGGACAAACAGGTTTCCCGAGTTCAGTTTTCCCTGCAACTGTTTAAAAAGTTTGATAGCTCAGTTCTCTCTTTTGAAATTAAAAATATGAGCAAGAAGACCAGTCTGATTGTGGACAACAAGGAGCTGGGCTACCTCAATAAGATAGACCTGCCGTACAAGTGCATGGTCAGGTTTGGCGACTACCAGTTCCTGATAGAGAAGGAGGAGGGAGAGTCCCTGGAGTTCTTTGAGGTTCTGTTCATGATGTCTCCAAGATCCCTCCTGCAAGAAAACAACTGGCCGGTACAGATGCCCATTCCTGAGTATTCCAGCATTTCATCCTGTTCCACCGGAAGCACTTCTCCTATAGAAACTGATGAAAATGAACCATGAGCACGACAGCAAGAGGAGAATTGAGGATGGGGAGCTGTGCAGACACTCCCCTGGTTGTGTGTATTAGTGTGGTGCATTCCTGTCATGTTACGCTATCAAATTTGTGGTCTAGTGCTACCATTTTGAAGTCTGTTGTTTGTGTTAGACATGGAGTTGGTCACCTGCTGCATGCCTGCATGTGTCAAGGATAATTTTAAGTGTACATCTGTTGAAGGTTAATGTACAGAAAGTATTCTTTGTGATAAAGAGAGTGTTCTCAAATAAAGTTACAGTGTTTTCTTTTTATGCTTGATTGTAGTCCTGTGTTTTGTTTTGTGAGAACCATCTCTTGGTCATATGATTTCACAGCAGCCACTGGTTTTCAAGGTCAAGGCTATGGGCAGTTGTTACTGGTGTTGTAGCCTGTTGGTACTTGTGGTACCAGAGTTCTGGGAAAGAGTGTATTGTGTTTTGGAGTGGTGTCTGTGCATCACTGTGGTTCTAATAGAGGAGCTTATTTGGGCAATAATATCTTGACTTTCTATTTTCTTTCTATGGAATTGTAGTGTTTATTCCCAAGAATAAAGTTCTTGTCTATACTCAGCATCTAAAAACAATATTTTAAACATTTTAATGAACCACTGTGTTTAGTGTAAAATTGTTTTCCAGTTTTCTTACCAAATTTTAAACTGATTTTTATGTACTATAGAATTTTAAATTCCATGAATTCAAAATGTTAACAGCACATTCATGCACGCAATAAAATCAAAGCCTAATCCTCTGGCCATTCTCTCTGAAACTCCTCCTGAGGAAAGAACTGTCCTGGGACTGTGGTCAGGGCCAGTGTGGCCAGTGGGGGCTGTGCATGCAGACACCTGCAGCTCCGCCCCTCAAGCATGTGGGGGCGGTGTTCTCCACCCGCCCCTCCCCCACAGGCCAACACATGCCACCAGGAGTGCCCAGGTGCTACGTGACTGACCAGCCACCCAAAGAACATGATCTCCCAATTCCAGCTCCACCAAGGGTCCACCTGGGTACTGAGGTCACACTGAGTTATGGCTGCTCAGAGGGTGGGGGGTGCTGGAGACAAGGTGCTGCAGCTGAGCTGGGAAACTTCCGACGCACCCCTTATCTGCTCATTTGTCCCAGCGGGCAGACTGCCCAAGATCTGTGGTGAGGGCCCCTGAGGTGAGGGCCTGTGCAGTGAGCGCGTCACGGGCGCCCGCTGTGACCTCTGACTCCACCCCTCCTTTTGTCCCCACATGTAACCCAGTAGACAGTCTCGTGGGCTCCACTTCCAAGATTCATCTGCTCTGCGTCCCCACAACCACGGCACAGGCCGCCCTCTGACAACCACCCCTGCACAGCAGCTGGAGCAAGTTTTCCAGAATGCCAATGTGCTCACTCTGCATGCCGGCCTCCTAGTCCACACAGACTCAGACCCGCCCTGAGTGGTCTTTCCACGCTCAGAACAGGCCATACGCTCCTGCCTCACCCTGTGCCCGCTGGTCCCTGTGCTCACCTCTCGCTGCACAGGCCCCCTAACTGGGCTGGGCTGGGCCAACTCCTGCCCAACAGCATCTCAGTTCAAATTGCATCTCCTCAGAGAAGACTCCTGGCTTACCAACACCAGTCTTTGGGCCCCTTGCTACCCTTTATCCTATCATCTTGCATATTTCTGTGATTTTCTATGTGTATGTTCACTTGTTATTGTCTGTCACCAGAATGTAAACTAAAGAGCAGAAGCTTGGTGTCTTTTTGCTGCCACATCCCCATCACCCTACCAGACACTGCAGATTCTTTGATATGTATTCTCTGGATAAATCAATGTCATTTCTAGTGTTTTTATCAATATGTAAAGAAAGTAATATCGTTTCTACCCTGGCTGGTGTGGCTCAGTGGGTTAGGCATTGTCCACAAAGCAAAGGGTCGCCAGTTGATTCCCAGGTCGCCAGGTCAGGGCACATATCTGGGTTACAGGCCAGGTCCCCAGTCGGAGGTGTGGGAGAGGCAACCACACACTGATGTTTCTCTCCCCCTCTCTCCCTCTCTTCCCCTCTCTCTAAAAATAAAATCTTTTTAATAAAATCCTTTTCTTGTCTGCTAAAATACACACATCCTCAAGTTTAGTCCCAGCCTGCTTTCCTAATTATCTCCTTTTTTTCTTAGCACATTTAATAAAACAATTATGTATGTCAGAATTATTGCATGTCTGGAATAAAGCAAGTAGTAATAAAAAAATGTTTTTAAATGTAAAAATGTGTTTATTCACAATCCTTGAGAAGTTACCATTCCTTCAAAAAATTCTTTATGAACAAAATGCCAAAAAAATTACAATAGTAGCTTATGGCAAACCAAAAATATACATCTGATGTATACAAACTTTAAAAAGCATAGCACAGGCACTGGGAATACAAATTACCTTGAAAATATTTCCCATGACATAGTTACAACTTAAATTTTAAGACAGACATAAACAATAGCATTATCTAAAATGTTTTCATATTTGAAGTGTCATATTTATTTCTATGAGCTAAAAAGAGATGAAACTGTAGGTGTCATTGCCTAGCAGTTCAGCTGTGGAAAGGACCATGTGGTTTTTCTTAAGTACAGCCAGGACTGTAAGTTACTATGTACACCTGACCCTTCTACACCGTTGGGAACATGCACTGCCACTGTTGCAAGAAAAGAAACACGAAGGCAAAAATTAAGAGTTTGCTTCCTGAAATCACATCAATCCTCAGCAAAATCAAGACAAGCAATTAGGGAGTGTCTTATGTCCTTGGCCTTTGAAACTGATACCTAACTTCAGAGAAGAGTTTGTTGTATATCACAAAAAGTAGTTACATATATTGATATATTCAGTTCTATCCCATTAATGTGCCTTGTATTACAAGGCAAAGGAAAACAATAAAAATCAACAAATCCTTTCACACCAGAAAGGATTTTATTTACTTTGAAATACCCGTATTACCTTTTAAGGTTTCCTTTCTTACCAAACCATGCACAAAGAATATGTTCTGTGTAAAATCTTTCTAAGACCAATCATTGGAAATACAAAATTTTAAAAAATGACAACTACAAATTTAATTTATCAACAAACTTAAAGTCAGTATTCATTTATAGTGCATGTAAAAGGAAGTGAAAAACCTAAGTCTATTTATTTTCTTCGATATTACTTCTGATTACCAGCTTTAACTGTTCAAACTCTGAAAGCTTAGTTTGTCGTATCATATCTTTTGTTTCAGACTAAATCAACATTATCAGTCTTGGATGCACAGCAAGTGTAGAAAAAATGATACTTGAGCATTTCTTTAAGGTCAGCTACTAAAATTAATTGTGGTTACTATGAGACAATCAAATTTAAACCAGTGGTAGGAATAAATAGTGTTGGAAAAAATCCACTATTCTAACTCTGAATCTGGCGGTCCATCCTCATGCTCTCTCAGGTCTGCTGAGCAGTAACACAAAATGCCTCAATGTTTTCAGTTAGCTACTGAAATAAGCTTACGAAAACACACTAAGTCAAACTATTAAAGTTATTTTAAAAATGAAAATCTACAAATATTAAACAAGAATCCTACAAAGGAGTTAAAATAAATGCAATTGATAACATGACAGAACCATTCCCTTGTTTTTGGACAACAGAAGGCAGATGATGAATTGCACTTAATTCTGAAGCACTCCGACACAGCCGGCACTCCGAGCCTTTCCAACAGCATCTCCAACACAGACCCTGCCCCCCTGGAACTGCCGGCCTGGGTCGGCACTGGGTCTGTGCCGCTGAGCAGGGTCACAGGACCTCACCCTCTCGCTTCCGCCGATCTGCACCGGGCTGCTTTGCGCTGGAGTCGGAGAGTTCTAGGACAGGGTTCACAAACCCAGAGTACTCGGAATTGCCATTGTCGTCCACATCGGCGCCCACGAAGTCGCTCTCCCACTCCAGCCCGTTGGAGTCATCGGAGGCTGATGCAGCATGACTCCCTGGCGTCCGGCCCCGACCATGGAGCGCTGCCCGGAGGATGTCTTCCTCTGTCTTAGAACGCTCCCTCACCGGGAGCATTCGATTCATTCCTTTATTGGGGAAAAGGTATTACAAATCTCAGTGAAGATTAAAAAGCTATATTAAAAGAGTTTCCAGTCTTGCCCTGGCTGTTGTGGCTCAGTGGAGTAAGTACTGGCCTGGGAACCAAAGGGTGGCTGGTGCAATTCCCAGTCAGGGCACATGCCTGGGTTGTGGGCCAGGTCCCCAGTAGGGGGCGCACAAGAGGCAACCACACAGCGATGTCTCCTCCTCTTTCTCCCTCCCTTCCCCACTCTCTAAAAATAAATAAAATCTTGCAAAAAAAAAAAAAAAGACTTCCCAGCTTAACAATACAGTTTTTATTGAACAATCAAACTTGACTTGTGTATTAACCTAAAGGGCCAGCACTATGGGGCCTTCTCAAGGGTAACTGACGCGTGTCCCCCTAGAGCGCGCCTTAGATAGAGATGATGTTGCTCCTCAGCCAAGGACAGTTTTGACGCAACAATGACCATCTGATGAGACGAAATGTCTGAAGAGCCATAAATCAAACAGAGTGGGCGGAAGGCCTCAACAGCTCTTAGTCTTACAGGGACAAATCCGGAACCAGCCAAACCCTCTCCTACCAGATGGTAGTTTCCTTTCCCAGGGGTGAGAGTAACTAATGATAACGACAACACTACGCACGTCTATCCATCCTGCACTCGGTTCCCGGTAAGGCTCTGTGCGCGCCATGCGTGTTATGCGCGCGTCATCCGGCTCCGCTCTGCAGCAGGGAAATCCGGCCACATGAAGGGTGCTGCCCGCAGTCCCAGCGCCCTCCCCTTCTCTGCCACCGCCAAGGAGCAGAGATGTTTCCAGGAATACTATTCTAGACCTATTTCTGAACATAAATTTGGCCAGTAAACTGGAGGAAAAATAGTCATTGTATTGGCAGAGGAAGGAGAGAAATTTGTAAGTGTAGGATCAACATTAGTAATAGAATTAAAATCTAGGACTAGAACAGGAATAAGAGAATACCCATGGACACATTCAGTGATTTTGTTTTCTGACCTTATAGAATCAAACCCTACAGTTACAAAATAACACTTAAATTTGTATCACTATCTGTCACTTGTGAAAAATCAGACTCAACCCAGCAGAGCAAGATATTTTTATAGACAAGACAAAAATATGAGCTGCATGCTAATATAATTTTGTGGATTTGTATATAATTAGAAATAGTAATACTGTAGTATAGTAAGGCAGCTGGTTCCTACTAGTTTCTAGTGGGCTCTGTCCTCACTTAG